AAAAAAAAACAAACAAACAAACAAACAAACAAACAAACAAACAAACCAAAAAAAAAACCTCTTACCTGTCTGACCCAGAAGTAGCGTCCAGACGACCATCGTCCCTTTCAGGAACAGGTGGTTGTGAATCATTTTGCGCTCTGTTAGAAAAAATAAGTCCAACTTGATCAGAGAGTAAAGCGCAGCGGGGACGATCCGTCAGAGTCTTCTCCGTGAGAGAAGCATGTGTCATCTTCGCAGCTGGGAGGCATATCCGGAAAAAAACTGCACAACAACTGCTGCTACATCAGAGGGAGAGGAGAGAGTGGAAAAGTGCTCCGACCAACTACTGTACCGCCGTTCAGCATTGGTAAATGTCTCTTCGGTCACCACTGAAATGTGCTTCTGTTGTGGATTAAATCTGCTATTTTAGTAACAAAAAGTGTAGGAAAATGTTGTCCAGGCTTGCGCGGGTGCCAAATCCAAACCATTGCGCATTTTTTTACGCACGTTGCCAAGCTGTTATCCTCTTGCTATTTCTAATGATTTTGATCTGGAGAGCGGTAGAGCCAACTAGCAGGGAACATGCGCCTGTATCTGGTAGGACACCTCTGGCAGTCCCTCCTCCGATTTCTCTTCCTCATCATCTCTCTCTTTGTTTCTCTCCCTTTTTCTCTTTCTCACTCCGATTGCCATAAACCTTAGATGTAAAGGCAACTGAAATACCACATTTACATCTAAGCACATAAGAAAGTGTTTTATTTGCGCCATTCTTTCAAGCGTTTTTTCACTCCAGGAATCAGCTCAACTGGGATATTTCAGTGGAAAGCAGCTAGAGGGCAGGCTAAGTGAATAAATATACTTGGAGATGTTTTAAGTTTTCCAAACGTGAGGGTGAACACGGAAGCTCCGTAATATCACTGAATAATGAAAAAAAAAAAAAGATTTTATTGGAACAAACACTGTTAAATTAACAACGTAGTCCTTCTAAGACTCAGGAGAAACAGTTTCACAATCGGTTCTTCCAGGGCAAAACAATTTGAAAAATGAATCAGATGTAGATCTGAGTTACACCATTTAAAAAAAAAATACAAATACGCTTTGACCTAAAAACCATTACATTGTAGCTCTGTATGCTCAGGATGAATAATCCTGAAGATAATCATTCGCCCCTACTCTCAAGACTTTTGCAGCCTCTAACAGATTTTCTTTCCAATTTGCCCTGTGTTTAACTACATTATATTCCCATCAGCTCTAATCAGTTCGCCTCTTCTGCTGAAGAAACACATCCTCGCAGCACGAATGACACCTGGCGCCACCAAGTTTCACTATTAAAACGTGGGTGATCTAATAGCATTTTGTAGAGTCAAATATCTTGATTTTGGTTTCATCTGACCAGAGCAACTTTCTTCTTCAACAAATGTATGCCACACTTTCTAGATTCATACTTGTAAAACGAAAGGAAACAAGTTATATATTTATGATAAAGTTCCACTTAATTAGTTTGTGGTTTTTCTTTCTGTAGTTGTAAGCTGGGCGAGAGGCCGAAGTCTGTATAGAAAGGTCTGCAGACCATCACAGGATTGTCCAGCAGAAAAATGCAGTCTGTCATAAATCTCCTCAACTGGTGTTTGTCCAATTTGGCCTTGGCAAATTGGACCTAATAAACTATCAAGCGAGTGTAGTTTACTTTTTAAATGTTGAAAATACATAATAGATGAACAGTCTTCTCATTCTAAATGCTTATTGTGTCGTTATGCAGGCTTTCCGAAAGACTCTTCTAGTTTGCTTTATAAATATTAGACTTGGCTCCACAGATTGTTTCCATTTATTTCATAAACAATTCCTGAATTAAAGATAATATTTAACAAGTCTACCTTTTATGACTTACCCCATGAGGGGTGATTTGTTTAAACCATCATTTCCCAACTTGCAGCATTTTCTTCAGCATTTTCTTTCCTGCTAACAGTTCAACGAGACATCGTTGCATCTCAGTAACAAAGACACACAAAATATTTAGGACTGTAGATCTTGGCACATAACAGTTTGCCAGCCTTTATTCACATATTTATTATTTTGCAACTGGAAACTGACGCCTGAACAGTTTCGAAACTCCGTTCATCAATTTCTCACAATGTCTTTCAGCTGCCGTGTAAATGAAACATGCAGGGCTTGGGACGACCTCTCCAACCTGCTGGCGATGTCCGCTGCAGCGCGAAGCATCTCTTCAAAGATCACAGACTCTTCTCTTACTCTGCGCCAGAATTTGGGGGGAAAAAAAAGAAAAGAAAAGAAAACAGGCTTCAGGAGGAAAGATGAGAACAGAAAAGGCAAATGAAGGAATGCCTCTTGACCTACTGTTCATTTCCCTGGGGGTAAATTATGATTGACGTTTTCGTAACGGAAAAGACGGACTCAGAAAATGATAGCCATGTTGAAAAAAAGTGCAACTTGTTTTACATTTTACGATGTGTTTGGAGGCTTTAAACGTGATCCAAATCTAATATCAAGTACACAAAAAAAAAACAGTCTTGATCTATGACAGATCATCATCTGTGTGGGATAAATTAAGCTCACCAAATTATTCTGTTAATTGTAGAAATAAATTTTCAGACCTGACATATTTATTGTTTTTTGTTTTTTTTTTGTTTAAACCTGACTATCAGTCTTCCATATTTTTGGGGAGAAATGTCTTGCACACTCATCTTGGTTAAGCATATTGAGGTTTATAGACAACTGCTTCTGATCAGCTCTCTTATAGTCCCAACACAGCATCTCTTTTTGATGAAGCACTGAACTTTAATTAGGCCATTTACAAACACCTTAAATATTTTTAATTTTCAGTCTTTCTGCTGCATTTTTTTGTCCCGTCGATGACTCAGTTCGGGCAAAGTGTTGTCTGTCAGACGGACGGTCTATCCGATGGTTAAAAATGTCTGTGTACAGCAGCAAGATTCATCGGTCCAATGGGTTTCTACATTAGCCCAAAGCACAATACCTCCTCTGGTGAAAATGTTTTGTGCTGGTACACTTTATTTGGTTTATCCTGAACAAGATAGTCAAAAATTTGACACAGATAGATGTTTGTAGTAAAAATAATACACTCACTTGATGTTTTATGAAATGCTAAATCTTCTCCTCTTTTCATTGTCAGACTGTAACTTTAACCAATACTCACTTCTCCATCCCAGCGAAGCCATCTCCCTCCAGCTGCTTTCTCAAATCTTCCTCAGCTTTCTCTAAATCCTCACTACAGCCTTTATGGTCCTCCTGGATGCTGATGATGTTTTCTTTAATCACATCTTCATATTTCTGATCCCCCAGCTCTGCCCCCACAAACTGCGCCAGGTTCTCCACCACTGCCTTGTTGGCACGTTGAATCGTCCGCAGGTAGTCCAGTTCCTCTCGCCGGGCCTTCAGCTTTCGAGCTGAAACAGTTTCGGCTTTAGTGCTGAAGTGGACAGAGCACTTATCTGGTTGGGGTTCAGATTGGAGCGAGGGGGACGGCGACGACGGGATTAAGAGATGGTTGTTTTTCGCACTCGCAGGCTCGTCACCAACGGCCTCCAATGTGTCATTGGTGGCCGTCGAGGCAGGGAGGATGTCAAAGCCTGAACCCCAGTCGCCATCTCCACTTTGGCCAAATATCGGGGTTGCCAGGGAGATCCAGGCCAAGATGAGCTTCATCCAAAACTGCCACATGGTAGCCTGAGCAGATAAAGGTGAATGATTGTGAATTTCATGAAAAGATGTGGAGATTTCTGAGTTTTGCAAGACGATTAGAAGATATGGTTTGGGTTCAAGGTATGCTGTTAAAGCTTAATTTTGCAACTTTCAGATGGACGACCACCTGAACTGCATGAACATCCAGTATGCCGAGGAGATGCAAGAGTGACGTTTGTTCATTTCAAGGAGGTAACGGCACTTTGTAAATAAGATGAATTTATGTCTGGAAACATCTTGGAAATATAAAGTAGCTGTGATGTTTTTGTCGTTTCTTTCAGCTGTCACTTTTAAGCGCGCTACACTTTACATCTGGTCCATCAGCAGAGCTTGTACTCCGATTTTTATGTTTTCAGTTCCCCTTTTTGAATCTTCAGCTCTGTGCAAATGGCAATAATGTTTGTTCAAAATCGTTTCCTCAAGACGTAATGATATTGAAATATTTCCAGAAATGTTCATCTTATTTATCCAGCTGAGAATTAAACGTGGCTGCGACTCTTCTCTGATACTTACGAGGTTCATAAATCTGACTCTCTGAATGTCACACTGCATATCTTAGCAGCAATCATATTTTTCTACGTACAATTTATCAGGCAACCTTCTTTCAGTTGAACTTTTGTTAAATGCCACATGCAGATTATAAAATATTATACACACAACATGTCTTATTTTGCTACATACAGGTTGCTGCTATCTGAGTGACTTCTGTTTAATAGAAAGACTTACAGGTAAGTAAATCTGTCCATCTACCAATTAAATTCAGTTTACTATACAAGTAGTTTTATCTGCACAAACAATCTTTATCTCTTTTCGTTTTCTTTTCTTTTTTTTTTTTTTACAAAGAAGTCTCTGAATGTGCAGAGCTGGTAGAGGAATATCACAAAATCCTTCCAGCTGTCACTGCAGCAGAGGGTTAAGCTTCATTGTCAGTTCAGACTAAATACACACGTGTGCAACAATTTCCCTTCCTCTTCACAACTGCACACTATTTTATTCAATAGTATAAAGTCCCATTGACTATACTCGCCTATCCATGCATGGTCACATGGAGTCTGGTGTCTGTCTACAATAGTCACTGGGTTAGAGTCATGGATACACCCTGGACATGCAGTGACTCCATCACATGGTAACCCAAAGACAAAGGACAAACAGCCATGAACAAACACACTTGCTGCTAAGCCCATTTAACCTGTACATTTTGACTGTGGGAACTAGCCATATTACCCATTGTAGGAAAATACAAACTCCATGCAGAAAGATCAGGAATCAAGACAAGTATTTTTTTTTTTTTTTTTTTCCTGCACGGCAGCAGTTCTAACAACTGCACCACCGTGCAGCCCCTTCAAAATACGTGTATGAAATCTCAAATGTATTTTGGATTCCTCAGAAGATTATAGTTTTACTGTAAATGGATGCATCAGCAGTTATCATGTCCCTCTATGTCTGTTGTGAGAAGTAAAACGGGTTAAATTTAATCTTTCAGTGGATTTATGTCATTGTTTTATAAAAAGTTATTGCACAAAACTGTGCCGCCTCAGCTGTGGAGTAGTAATAAGCTTTTCACATTCTGTGGCTAGACTGTGTGGTGACTCGTGTCACGCCAAGGCTGTGAAAGCCGAAACTTCTCCTTACAGTAGAGTTTCTGTTGTTTCCAGTGGTTTTCTAAGGATCTTTCTTGTGAATGCTGACGTTCAGGTCGTCTTTTTGTCTTTCTGGGCACAAAAAGAAACAATCTGGGTTGTTTTTTTCAAACTACAGTTTTTGAGGAACTTACGTGGCTGTCTAGGTTTCAAGCTTCCGCATCTGGAAATGGAACATTTTAATTTAATTTAAAGGCATCCACCATAAACTGCATGGCAGAGATATTTCTGCTGTCAGATCGCATTCGGATTTGGCACAAAACTTTTTAAACTCCTCAAAGCTGAGAGGAAAGTCTGGCTAGTTATTATTTTTCAGTACGTCTTGTTCTGAAATCTGCTGAAACAAACATAATAAAATATTTTGCTTATTTTAAGGCAACTTGTGGTGTGGAAAGACTCCCAGTTACCCATAAAACAACCGAGAGGGTTCCCTCTGCGTTTCAGTGACTACTTCAATTAAGTTGCAGTGGTTTTCATGGAAATATGTTCAAATAGGATTACTTTGGGACAATGAGGTTTACATCCTGATATCATAGTAATGCGTTTTTGCGTGTGAGTGTATGGTTACAGTTGGGATGACCTGACATGTAAAATAAAGGCAAATTTAATGAGCTTTCCAGATGTGTTCCAAGTCGATGACGGCATTGCGTTACATCTGCTTCTGCAATTATTTTATCCAGCCTGCATAGACTTTTGTTATTTTAAGTATTAAAACCAATTAGCTGACTACAAACAGAAAAATGGCACATTTATTTATAAATTAAATGGGAAACCTGTCACAAAGTGACTTTACTTTATGTTCCATAATTGTGGTGATGCAAAACCTTTTTATTCCTACAAAACTTTTGACCACGCTTGTTTCAGCACCACTAAAACAAATCCCTGTTGGTCCGCAGTAACAACACTGGTCTTATGACTGAAGGTAATGAGATAAAAATGTAATTCGTCTGTTCGGGAAAGACGTGAATTTGTTTTGCTCACGCCCTTGCTCATTCCTCGGTGTATCACAGACTTGCAGCAGTGGTTTTTGTCTTTGAAAAATGCCTTGAAAGTTAAGATGCAGACGGTTGGGTGCAAACTGTGCTTGTGTTGGACTGCAGTATGTAGTCACATTTTTCTTGGCTCCACTGCAAAGGATTCGTCACAGGGAAGTGACTTTTATGGGCTGACTTTTCTCTTGGCTTAAAGCGTTTCGACAAAGGGAAAGCCGTGAGTTTGCCAAACCCTTTAGTGCTTCACCTTAATCTTTAAGCGCAACAGCGTGCAAGTCTGATTAAGTGTTTAAATCCCGAAATAGAACTAGTTATAATGATTTGGTTCTAATGAAAATAGAAAAGTTCATGAGAAAAAAATTGAAACGTCGTTCAAGTGATTTGCGCTGTTGAGGCCAGATGTGTGTATGCTTTGCGTAAAAAGATACAAACCTTTTTCCTTCTCACCAACTTTTAGTATCAGAGTTAGCTCTCTTAGCCAGATATCAAAACAATTTTTTCCAAGTGTTATGAAGTCAAGAAGTTCCCTTTATATTTGGTAGAGCAGGCTTTTACACTCAATTTTTATTTATTTATTTTTTTCTCGCTGAGCGGCTCTTCAGCATATGTCAATACAGGTCTTGATTCACTGGTACAAGTTTTGTGGGGTTAGTTTCATATACCGTATGCGGAAATCTGGTTTAAAACCCTGAATGGAGCTGAATAGGCATATCTCTTTTCTGAAAATGAGGCATTGGTATGAAATGATTCTGTCATTTGCAGAGATGCTTTTGGTGAATCTCTTTTTATTAATCCCTAAAATGTAGATGTGGATGCTCTTGGCTGCACACGTCCTCCTCTTTCAGTCCTGGTTGAGGAGCAAATCTGAGCGTTTGTTGGGTGGGTGCCATTCAGCTTTGTGGCCTCTCCTGTCAAAGCTTGACCAGGTGTGTTTTACAGCTGTCCAAACACATTTACTTCAGCAGCACCATGACAAGGAAGGCTCTGGTAGCCAAACAAAAAAAAAAAAAGTTGCTATTTTTTTTCTGCTAAACACAAATAGGAGTGAATGGGTTTAAATGTTAAATAGTAAGAAAAACCACGGAGAAATAGAGAAATACACATTTCTCTATTTTCAGTAAGAATATTTTTGAATTTTCTGAGTTCAGCCCTCATCTGGAGTCACATTTTCTCATGATTCTTTTGGTTTCCTTAAGTTTGGAAACACTTGATGTTTTTTAACCCAATCAAACTTGTTTTAGGACAAATAAACCAGAAATACACTACTTAAAATTACAAATTACATTTTTTTTATTATCCAAATTGTATGTTAATAGTATGGTAGAGTATCTTCCCGTGGTTATTTATGAATAAACATCAACATCAGTTCAAGTGTCTCCAGAAAATGCATGTTCTTTAACATCTTATAAGTTTGTGTAAATGATGTAAGCGTCTTGACCTTAGCAGAGGAATGCGTGAGGGAAAATCCTGAGTGTACTCTCTATATAAAGTTTCATTCAGTCCACACATCAGACTTACCTTACTCCAGTAATTTTTGCACCTCTGGTTTCTTCCACTTCTGCTCTTTCAGTCCGCCGGATCCACTCAGAAGTTCAAGAGTACCATTTACAAGCAGAAAGAAGAAATAACTCAGCTCTTCCCTTCATGTCAGAGAAAGAAAAGTGCAGACACGCGCAAACGCAATTAGAGTAAGTCTGGAGAGTCTGGTCGCCCGTGTGCCTCTGCATGTCTGCTGGGAGGAGTTTTATAAGGAAGGGGAATGTTTTCAGAAAAGGCTAAAACTGAGTTATTTCTTTTTTCTCCGCAACGGGGAACGGAGGCTGGAAGCAGGGAGGGGAAAGAATGGCCTTAATTTACTTCACATATGGGGATTATGGTAAGTAGGGATGTGGGCTTGATAGCACAATGGAAACTTCGAGAGATCTGCATAATAAATTTTCATGGCGTTTTTCCTTAAACCCATGCTAATTATGTGCAGGTCTGAGTTTCTTGTGGCATGTTCAAAAGTCTTACATTCTCTTGCAAATTATATCCCTTCATAACTCCGGTCCAAAAACTTTTCTGTTCATGTTAACAGAAAAAAAAAAAAATAACTATATGTTTAAAGACAAGATTGTGTTAATTGTTCTATGTTGAGAGCATTGTGTTTTGTGTGAGAAGCATGAAAAGTCTGATTTGTGGAAATTTATCAAGACACAAAATGCATAAATGCACTAAATAAACCAAATAATGGGAGATCTCATATTATTTTAAAGCTTTTCATACACTTACTTTACTAGGGGGCATCAATAGGAGTGTGGGGTGCTGTTTGTGAGATAGAAAGGGATGATTTTAGTTCTGTTAAAGAGTTAAAGTATCTTGAACCTGGATAACAACTGGTATAAAGCAGGAAGAATACTGGAGTTGTGTCTGTTTCAAACCTTAAAAGTCCAAATACCTAATTTCAGCTTTGATAGTGAGCTCTGGGAAGTGACCAAGAGAGACGGGATTTGGTGCAAAAACATGATTAATCTCAGAAGAGTGGCTATTAGCTCATCCTACAAGAAAGGCGGGAAAGCTTATCAGTTTAGAAGAAGTTTTATGTTGGTTTGCTCCTCTGCAATAAAATGGTTCCATTAACTTTTTTTCCATCTTTGTTTCGTTTTTCTAAATTGATTCTATCATATAGGTAGATTGCCTTTCGGTGAACTCCCATCTGTGCAGCTATTCACTTATCATTTCACTGAAATAACACAAAACGTAGCAGCTACTTTTAACAGCATTGGAAAGATTTGCTGCTGTGCTTCTGAAACACACAAGGATCGATGTGCATAATCAATTATTCCATTAAACCAGCATTCAATACTTGAATTTCTGTAGCAGTTTTATGGTAGATATACCAGCATGTGTTAGAAATTTAAGGTGAGGATGACTTGAGAGGCAGAATGCCCTGGGAATCTGCACATTTCCCAGGGCAACTTTGCTCTACAAAAAGGTTGTGTTAATAAAATTCATGATCGTCAGCCTTTTGGATTATATATGGGTGATAAAGTGTGAATATGTATGTGTTCATACTTATGCATGCATGCATTTGTGTGTGTGTGTGTGTGTGTTTGTTAGTTTGTTACCTGGAAATGCAAAAATGTTTTAGTGGTGAGGAGAGTAGAAACCCTGCACAGCTCAGCTGGTTCTGCAGCAGACACAGGTTGACAGATACCAGGCATCCACACCAAGCAGCCATGCAGCTGAAACGGAGACAGGTACGTAGAACGGTTTTGTGTTGGCAGCTTATAAAAATAGTTGTTGTTTTGATATTCTTTTTTATGATTAGGGGGTATGGTGTTCTTTTGTCGAAGATTTCCACCTTGCACTTCAAAACTAGATATTTTTGCAACCTGCTGTCTATAAAAAAAAACTACATGAGTTTTCCTACATTGAAAAACTCTTTTCAATGTAGGAAAAGAGTTTTAATGTATGATTTTCCGCTGATTATTTTTGTCAAATAAGAAAGGAAATGTATTAGTGTTAGACTTTATAGTCTCTTCTGTTGGAGAACTTAGAAAAATTACTCCTTAGCTTCTGGAATATTATGGCTGTATCTGCATAACTTTACAAAAAAATTAAGAGAAATTTACAATTTCAGATCAAATGAACATGCTAAGTTGATGTGGTCAAATAATAATAATTATACAAATAAAAACTGCATGTCTAGATATCATAACTGTTTGCATTTGTAATGCATGAAATGTATGCATCAACTCCATGAATGAAAGCAGAAGACCTAGTGAAGATGCTGCCTAATATTATTGTTCTGACTTGGGCTGTGGGGCCACTCAGTGAGTAAGAAGCCATTATTCCCAAAGATTCCAGTTAGCAAATAAACTCATGGACAAAGACCTTAAGAATGTTATCTGACAATATTACATTTGGAGGACAAAGAAGGAAACTACCAAGCCTGGGAACACTATCCTAACTATAAAGTTGAGGGTTGTGTGGGTATTTTTATGCAGGAGGGGCTGTTGCACTTCACAAAACAGATGGTGTCACAGGGAAATGGCATCTCTAGACATCAGCCAGGGATTTGGCTGAATTCCAGCGAGCCTTACAGAGAGGCTTGGGGAAGGATTCCCAAAATGCTTGACCAAAGTCAATTAATTAAAAAGGCAATTCTACCAATAAAATTGTACAATATGAAGATAGTTGGAAATGATAGCCTCTCTCCTTCTTTAGAGTAAATATTAATAACTTTGGTAATACAAACTGGCCCTAAATCTTAGGCCGGATTTTTATTTTTATTTTTTTTACATGTAAATACAGCATGTGACATAAACTCAGCTTCATCAGACATAAACTATACATTACGCTGACCAGCCTTTCTTTCTGTTGAACGTTACATACATTTTATGTTATTGTTTGCGAAACGTCAAAAATAAATCCTAAACCACACAGTAGTTATCCTCACTCTGCAGGAGACCAGATGTTCTTTGTCAAACGTCAGACTGTTAAATGTCCTCAGCCATCTGTAGACCTCCACTTTCCAGGTCCAAGATTTTTTTTTTTTTTACCCAAGACATAATGAGGGCAACACATGGAAGAGATTGAGTATTTTTCTTCACTGCAACATGTATTTTTTTTTAAGTCACTCAAAAATCATTTCAACTTGTGATAAGTGATACATATTGGCAGTGAAATGAAAAGCCTTTGATTATATTTATAGGGAAAATGACAGCACAGTCCATTATCTATACATTAAAAAAATACTCTGTTAGAAGGGAAGGTTTAAACTAAAGGTCTAATGTTTAGTATCAGTATCTGTTTTTTGTAAAAAAAAAAAAAAAAAAAAAAAAAAACCAAAAAAACCCAAAACCCAAAAAAATTTTTTGAAAAAAGGGAATTTTTATGCGTTAAA